TGGATTGGGATAACAGTTGTATGAGCCCCTAATAAAATGTTAAAAAAGAAAAGAAAAAAAACCAAAAACAAACAAACAAAAAGAGCTGTAAGAGCCCCCAATAAAATGCTGTATAAAAAATAAAATAGAAAGAAAACAACGAGTAATGTCAGCAAGTTTTTCATTTCCAGTTTAAACCAGTAACGGCGGCAAGGAATTCATTTCCGGTTTAAATGAGTGACGTCAGCAAGGATTTCATTTCCGGTTACTGAATGGCCATAGGAGTCCTCTTTTCCGCTGTAGCAAAAGGTAGCTGAAGGCAAGCTCTCAGGTGTATACAGTGAGGTCTTTGTTCTCTGAATGCTAACGGCATTGGATGTCAGTCACCTTGGGGACTAAAGTGCACCTGGCCCAAACCACGGTGTTTGCAATGAGCTCACGTGCATATCCAAAACAGCTGGACAAGGAATCCAGAAGAGCCAGGAAGAACCGATGCATTTGAATGAGGGTGGCTGTGAAGACCATGCCAAGTCCCACGGACTGCCAAAAGGATAAGCAAATCTGTCTGGGAAGAAGTAACGCTACAGTGCTCCTCCGAGCCAAAGACCGCGAGACTTCGTCTCACTTGGGACGTGTGATCAGGAGAAACCAGTCCCTGGAGAAGGACGTCATGCTTGGTAAACTGGAGGGTCAGCGAAACAAGGGGAAGGCCCTCCATGAGGTGCATTGACACGACACAGCGGCTGCAGCATTGGGGTCAAACAATGCTTGTAAATGTTTTGAGAATGAAGAGGACAATGCATCTGCAAATGTGCTTTACACATTTGATGTGTGTATGGATTGTGACAAGAGTTGTATGAGCCCCTAATAAAATTAAAAAAAAAAAACTACAGAAAAACAACAACAACAACAAACGGTTGTGAGGATGGGGCAGGAAGGGCAGGAAACCCCACTGTAGGCTTCTGAGACTATAACTATTTAAGGGAGCAGAAAGCCTCGTCTTTCTCCCAAGGAGCTGCTGGTGGATTCAAACTGGGGACCATGTGGATCACAGCCCAATGGGTAACCAGGACACTGCCATGGGTCCTACAAATAAGATAGCAGTTTATTTTTTTCATGCAAAAGAAATCCACAGGGTCAACCAGTGCGAGTTGGACGATTTCCCTAACTCTTCAGAGACCCAGGTCTTCTGCAGTCGGAGGCTGATAAACCGGCTTCCTGAAAAGAAAAGAAATCCTTGATTTGTGTTGTTCCAAGAGTGGCCACATGTTGTGCTGCTGATGGCAAAAGGTCATGTTCGAAACCACCAGTCTCTCCAAGGGAGAAAGATGAGGCTTTTGACCCCGGTAAAGTTACTGTCTCAGAAACCCACCAGGACTGTTGGACCCTGCCCTCTGGGGTTGTTACAAGTCTGAATGTAATGGGAGTGAGTTTGGAGTTTTAACATGTCTGGAAACATCGCCAGCCTTTTCTTCTGTGGCACGATCGCAAGCAAGTTTGAACTGCCAACCTTCCAGTCAGGTGAAAATGGCCCGCACCACGTCGTGGTAAGAGTGTCTTCAGCCACAGTTAGCAAGCCCGGTGTGTAACCACTACCCCTCCAGGGGTCCTTCCACAAAGATTCAACCAAAAAATCAAACTCACTGCCATTGCGTCAATTCTGACTCGTAGTGACCCGATAGGGCAGGGTAGAACTGCCCCTGTGGGTTTCTGAGACTGTCACTCTTTATGGGAGTCAAAAGCCTTCTTGTTCTCCCCTGGAGGGGCCGGTGGTGTCAAACCGCTGACCTTCTGGTTAGCAGCTCAACGTTAGACCAGGAGGCCAAGAAACCCTATGGAGCAATTCCACTCTGTCACACCTGGGGGCGCCAACGAGCCGGAACGACCTGACGCTGTGGACTGGGGTTGGGTTTAGGGTTAGGGCCGGGTCTCAGGGTGCTTGACGTGGAGAAAGGGGAGTCAGGTCCGATTGTTCACATACGTGTCTAATGATGCAGTGCAATACATGAGACAAGGGACATCTGTGCTATGGGCGTGTCTGACTAGGAGACTGAATTGATAACGGGTGACCATTTGAGGAAATGTGTACAATTTCTTAGTTCCGTTTTAAAGTTTTATTTATTTTATTAATCATCTAATTAGGGGACTCTTTACAGCTCTTATAACCATCTGGGAGTCCATTGTACCAAGCACACCTATACATAGGCTGCCATCATCATTTCCAAAACACTTTCTTTCTACTTGAACCCTGGGCATCAGCTCCTCTCTTTTCCCCCTCCATCTCTCATTGCTTGTGTTTGTGCCACAAGCATTCTCAGCGGTTCCCAGGGACAGAGGGCTGCTGGAGGAGGGCATGCAGTGTAACCCAGCCGGACTCAGAGCTGCCACTCTCAGCACCCAGGCCAGAAATGCTTTCTTTTCCATTGGAATTGTACTTGATTTAAAAAAATACAAACTTTATTATTATTTCTTTGCTTGTCTACACAGCCGAACATGCACCGATTCACTAGTTTCTATCAGGGATCCTCTAATTGGCTCAGAATGATTCAGTAACTGCCCTCCTCAGTAAGAGCCCCTGATGCGTTAAACGGCAAACCAAATCGATTGCCCCTTCGCATGTTACTCCAGTAGGGATCAGCGAACGCTGCCCGGCCAGCGTTGGACTGCTAGCCAGAAGGTTGGAGCGGCTGATTTACAGCCTCTGAAACCCTAGATCGAGATCCTGAAAGGCGGGATCCGCTCGATGGCAGGGTTTTTAGGGTTTAGGAAACCTCTCTGCCCCATGCGTTGCTCTGCCACGTCCTGCCAATTGTTTCTCACCACGAGTCCTGCCTCAGCCCTTCCTCCCGAAGCTTTTAGGCGCCCAAAGCGAGAGATGGGCTTGTTGGCCAGACACTGGAGGGCACACACGTTCGAAGAGGTGTGGTTGGCTGCCATCTTTGAGTCGGACAAAGGTGAGTGTTTTCTCCTTGGCTTAAAATCCTACGCAGGACCGCAGATCAGGGTGCGATGCAACGTGCCCACAGCCAACCTATGCAAGACCCTGATTGTTACTGTAGCATGTAAGGACATTGATTTACCTTCGTCCGAGTTGTGCCACCATTCCCCGCCCCCTTCCTTTTCTGAGCAGTTTCTCTTCCATGGTCATAAACGGACCCCTAAGCTCTCTTTGGAGTTGCTCTTGTCAATTTGATCCCATCTAGATGATTCTTCAAAGAGTCCAATGCTCAAGGCAGACCCAACCCAAGGACCCAACCAACCAACCAACCAACCAACCAACCAACCAACCAACCA